TCCCTACGAGTTCGTAAAAACGAGCGTCTACTGTATTAATGTCAAAAATGAGCCACATTCCTGTTTTTATGCATATAAATTGAGCAATGAAAATTAAAAATTATAAACTTAAAACTATATTAGTTTACAATTCTACTGAAATTTTAATGGACAGTTTGCCCACTTCATCAGTTGGAAAATGATGTCCTGTTTCATCTTTTACTTTCCTTCTTTTGTTTCCAATCACCTTTCACTCTTCACATTGGATTTATCTGCAGTTACAATACTACAGTTACCATCTTCAACTGAATTATTTCATTCTTAAAAATTCAAATATATAGTTCTTTATTCGAATATAGCCTAGGAGTACTTTTGATTGCTTCTCTAATTTTAAAGATATTTTTATAGCTAACACAAAGAAAAATCCCTAAAATCTCAATAACAGTAAGTAAATTCCAAAACACTAAACTTCTAGCTGCCAAAATAGATAGTATAATAAAACTATAAACTAATGTGTATGGCATGTGATTTTAATTCTCATTATTCAATCTAACATTTATGATATATGTATGAATTTATAGTTTAATGATAACAGTCGTGACGAGCACAAATATGCACGTACAGCAATTTATTCATGAAATAGGGTGAACAGATGTGAATCATGTAGTAGTGATTTTTCCCATTCTTTTTTTCTCCTATTGATTATCACTGTATTGGAACAGCATAAACTTAAGAAGGCAGAAAATTACTTCCAAGTAATCAAGATAATATGCTGATCATCATTTGTAATTAAATCTTTGATTACTATATTTTATTGCATAATTTTCATTATTATACTATTATTACACTGAAATGTAAAACAATATTTTTTTTAATCTTTGAGCTAAAATGTATTTATTTACATGATAAAAAAGGGCATTTCTTAATAATCAGCCATAACAATTAGTAAATGATAATTATAATAATGTAATTAACTAATAAGTAGTATTTCTTTTTGATTTCTGCAATAAGATCTGTATGCATTATTATATATATATCTGGATTTGGGGCAAAAAAACAAAATTATTTTAGAAAAAAAAAAAAAAAAAAAAAGAGAGAGAGAGAGAATAAAAGATCACTAATATTGGTATTGCAAATGAATTACAGAAAGGGCAGATCCAACTCGAAATGGACGGAAATCCTGCTGATTTTTTTTTAAATGACAAAATGAATAGCTCCCCTAAAAAAAGTAATTCCATTATTTTTAATGATCTTAAAAAGTAAATGATGAAATATACACTATTCATATATTTATGAAAAGAAATTTATTTCTAGGTTTGCAAATCAATGCGAATGTGAAACAAAGATGAGAAAGACAACTGAGAACAAGATCACTAGACGACATGGGAACTTCCCTCATTCAACAGTAAATTCTTTCATGGCAAAGAGCAAACTTTCATGTGAACCCCCTCACCCTACAGCATAGAGTTAATACCCCTTTTGGACATTTTTAAATGTCCTCGCAGAATGCCAGCCAAGGCCACATTTGCCACAGGTCAAATTATATAAGCTCATTATGTAAACAAGTTTACCATGAATTATCTGAAAATATTTCACTCTAATTCAGATAAACTGGATTTTGCTATAACCGGAAAATTTGATGAAATAACTGTGAAAAAAAATTTTTCCCCCAATTAAAACAAGTTCAATATTACAGCAAGTTTTAATATTTTATCATTCTCTCATTACTAAAGTAATCAGAGAATGATAAAATAGCTTTAATCTTTGTATTCCTTAAGGAAGAAAGAGGAGCAATTCCTTAAGCAGAGAAAATCTTAATGAGAAGAAACAGATTAAGGCAGTTATTAGAAAAATTACTTTTTTGTTGTTTCCTCAACTGCTTGTGGAGTAGCAGCCATTTTATCTGGGGCAAAAAATACTTCATCATCTACAGCAATGCCTTTACTTTTTATATGTTCACTATTCTTGAATCTAATGCAGTAAAATGGCTCATGCTTACCAAATTTCTCAAAAACCTATAAATACAAAAAAGCATTTAAAGCATAAATTGCATACTGTTAAAAAATTAAGAAGTTTAAGAAATATGACACAGACACAAATAAAAAATCATACTTTCCTGTTTTCAGTTTAAAAAGAATAATTCTTTAGCCAGAGAACATTAAAAAATACACTTACACCAATTTCTATTTAAAACTAAAATTTATAGATAGTGTGAATAAGTAAAGACTGATACTCCGGGCTGCACGTTTGAAATATAATTTTATTGGTTGAGATTTTATATAGAGAGACAAATTTCTTAAAGGCAAATAGCATGGACGAATTCAAGCTAGGCTTCAGGATGGTAGTTCATTGATGTAGATGGACATATGCCACTGCTGGAGCTTGGCTGCTGAGTACAAAGTGATACTCATTCAGCATTATGTCACAGTATTTACATTTTCATTGGCAAAATTGTTGATTATTGAATTCTAATTATAAGATTTTGAAAGACAGGAAGTGCCTTATAAACGCATAATTGTTTGGAAATTCAATATTTTACAAGCCGCCCAGACCGTATAGTGGCTAAGGGAGCCTGACTGCGGCACCGAAGGGCCCGGGTTCGAATACTGGAGAAGGTATACGTGTAAAATTGCATATCCTTTCATAGGAGATAACCGTTGCCACCTATCAGGTGCCTCCACAATAAAATGGCCACCACTTCTGGCCTTAGGAGTGGCCAATGCCGTTATAGGCAAGTGCCCATCATTGGGGCAAGGGAACATTTTTCTAGTAAAGAACAATAATAAATTAAAATTGTTCGAGACTATATTATATTCATTTATTTTAATTAAAAGTGGGAAATCATAAAAAAACTACTGACATCTTTATCTTTTGTTGCATATTTCTGTCAATTTTTTTCTGTTCTTAGAAAGTATCTATAAAAACTCAAAAGCAGCCAGCTTTAGTTCCGAGTTATTTTCTGCTTCCTCATGCTTAATTTGTTTATTTGCAAAGAAATATTACTCAGTATCAGGAAATGGCTATTGTGAAAGTTTTTTAAACATTTTGTTTCATGATATCATTGAACATCTCTTGTTGACACAATTCCAGATGAGGCACTAAATGGTATTTTTTTAACAAAGTGAGGCAGCATTATATGCAAAAGTTTTTAATGTCAATTATACACCATATTGTTACTGTTGGTTGTAACATTTTAAACAGTTATGGCTCTCTTCAATATTTGGATCTACTACTTCAATGTAGGCTGAGTGTAAATAGCATCATAAATAGCTTTATTCATGTTTACTTTTGATGAAAATTGCTATTATTGTTCCACATTAGTTAAAACGGTAAGAACATATAATTTTTTGAAGTCAGGGAACATTTACAACACATAATGTTTGAATATCTTTTGTGAATGAGATAGCATTTCAGTTTCAGTGCAGTTTAAAAAATCCCATATTACTGACATTAATTACTATATTTTGCAAATTTGAAAATTAGTATATTTTGCAAAATAAATATTCCCAATTCTTATATTTAAATATTACTTTAATTCAGCTTTGATTATAATACTCAAAAATTCTTTCTGTGCTAATATTTTCATTTTGAATTAAATTCAATCTGAAAAAAAAAAAAAAAAAAAAAAAAAAAAAAGCCATTGTCTAGTTATGGTCACATACCATCTTTCATACTTCAGTAGCATAATTCTTACCAAAGTAACACACATTAAAACAATATTTGTTTCTTAAAAATATTTTTAAACAAGTTTTGTAGAGACCATTACTATTTTTTGAAGTTGGGAAACATGATGAATAAGCATGCCCTCATTAAGATTCGAACTGATTGCTAGCTGCATGTGCTCTCAAGTTACATGCTGTCTGTAGTAATGTTTTCCAACTGAATTCATTACAGACCATTACATTTTGAACAACACAATGGAACTCCTTGAGTACTTTTAATGTAGCATATAATATGAATATAGTAAATTCATTGTAGGTGAGAAATTCTCATGGTTCTATGTCAAAATACATTTAAATTAAAAGTCTATTGCTCCCAGTGAAAATTCAACAGCCATTTTATATTTTTTTATGCCATATATATAAATGCAGTCGACTTGCATATGGAACTAAATGGCATAGTTTTCATCTTATTAAATTACAATGATGCTGTTAAATCGTTTATTTCTTGTAGTGTTAAAAAGTATTAAAAACACAACATACATCTTAACAAGCTCAATGTAAGCCCCATTCCCTATTTTATCCTATCTGGATAAGTCCCTAATCAATCACCTGTGGGTCATTTATAGTACTTTCGGGAAAACAATAATGCTAATGTATAGTCGGAATATAAGATGTGTTACCTCTAGAACATAGTCATTTTAATATAGTACATGACAAATATCTTAATACATAAAATAGTTTTGCAATAGTTTATGCATTTCTTTATTTTTGAATTGTATTTTAATAAGAGCTTGTTTTTTATTAAATTGTAAAAGCAAGTATAATTTTTTTTAAAAGAGAAAACACATATTTGTAGGATTTCCCCCGTTTCCTGTTTTAATGAATTTAATTGTTAAAAATTCAAAATCTTGCCAAAACTTAAGTTAACATATCATGGATATGTATGAGTTTTATATTCCTCATTAAATATTATACTTTTATTTATTTAGTATGCATCATATGAGTTGCCATGTCTAATTATATAAATATTAATTTGCACATTTTGATGGATAAGTATGTTTCATAGAGAAAGAAAACCATATCAGGTGAACATATAAACCATAAATATAATAAATATTGGGTGTATTCTTAACCGTTTCCCTTACACATTTTTTTGAAAAAAATATTGCAAAAAATCATAAATTTTTTTTATTAAACACAAAGAAACGAAACAAAACAAAATATGTAGGTTTTAAGTTGGATTTTTAATTTTTTACAGGTGTAAAAGCATTTAGTTTTAATATTAGTTTACTATCCTGAGTAATTTTGGGCAAATGGAAAAAAGTTAAATATTAGTCTTTGCATGATAGTTTTTGAAACAAGGGACAACACAAAGTGATACCTGACATTCTGTACACTGGTATCTGGTCTCTTTTCTTACTGGCTTGCCTCTGGTATCTCTTTTACGGGAGCACAGAGTACACTGTCTCATTGGATTGATTTTTTTTTTTTTTTTTTTTCAGTAGCAGGAAAAACATCTGGAAAATGCTTTGATGTTAACCTAAGTGGTGAAGGGCTAATGCTGGGTCTTCCTGATGTCGCAGAAAACTCGTCATGATGATTTTCTGAAATTAGTTTTTCAATCAGTTCCATTTGAAATTGTTTAGGTGATTGTGAACCTCCTGCTTTACAGTACAAGATATAGGAATTTCACAAGGCCAAATTCAATAAATGGAAAAAAATCTTCTTATAATATTTTTTTCGCTCTTTTTCTGGGTATAGAATAAACAACTAAATGCTGGTCGACTTTATCTACACCACCCATTTTGTCATTGTAGTCAACTACACATTTAGGCCTGGACTTTGTCTCTCCCCGATTATTTGTCACATCCTGCATTTCGATTGTATGTATTATGGAAATTAGACTAACATCCTTTTTATCTTTCCATTTCATTACAGTTACTTTCCCTCTTTGATACCCAATAATTTCTCCTTTTCTCAATTTTTTTTTTTTTTTTTTTTTGTCTTTAGATCTTGAGGTAAATCTTTTCTATTCAATCAGAGTATTCCACACACATCAGTCTTCCTTTTGACTAACGTATCAGCCAAATCTGGCGAGTTATAAAAATTGTCCGTGGTAAGACAATATCCTTTGTCCAGCAGTGGTTTTGTAAGAGTCATCACAACTCGGGCTGACATAGGAAGCTCATCAAATGAATTATCGAAATGAGTTCCCTTCCCACTGTATATAATGGCATTCCACACGTACCCACTCTTAGATTCGCATAGTAAGAAACTCTTTATTCCAAATCGCGCTCTCTTCAAAGGGATGTACTGCACCCACCCGAGTCTTCCTTTATAAAGAAATAAACTTTCATCTATTGTTATATCTCGGTATAATCGCACTCTGAAACTTCTCAAGTAAAATGTTGCAGAATTGGCCATATCTTATTTAGTTTTGGACAAGGATGTGTACTTGCATCATATACATCATTGTTGCTGAAGTGCAAGTTTTGCTTTATCTGACAAAATCGTCTGAATGACATTGTTTTTGCAAAAAATGGTGTATTGAACAACTGATTTTTACTCCAATAATCTTGCAGATCTGTTTTTTTATAACACCTTGGAGAATAGTTATTCCCCAAAAAACTCTTAGTTCATTTTGAGAAGTAAAACACCATGGTTATGAATGCAATCTATGAGCCCGCTCTTCCGCATATTGATTTGTTTTGGTTGTAATAATGTCAATCAATTCATTATCAAAATACTTATATAAAATTCCAAAACATTATGGATATCAATATTGAAATTCATACCTGTGTTGGCAGTAAAAGCAAAATTAGCAGGTGCAGATGGCAACTTCGTTTTTTGAATTGTACACCATTGACAAGCTGCTGGCAAATCATCCGAATCACTTGAACTGTCATCTTCAATAAGGCTACACACAGAAGAATCACTTCCACTATTTTCAATGTCCACCTCTTCATAATCACTGTCTGAAAAATCATCGCTTTCGCTATCTTGCATTATTGCCATTATTTTACTTTTTCAATGCAACTATCCTTCTTTGTACATTACTAACCCACAAGCCGTTGTATACTACATGATAGGGAAACACGTGACCAATCCCGCCAAAAGAACTGCAAAACCAACGAAACTTGGCAAAACTGCCAGTTAAAGCTGAATATTTCCTTTCATTTCCTCCAGGCCGAGTAAAACCGTGATAAAACAAATTATACTGATAAATTCTGCTTCACCCGAGTTTTCTCGGGATAATAATTAGGTGCAATATATACGAACCCAAGATAACTCGGGATAATCAGGCAAGCGGTAATGAAGGAACACAAAGTAAATGACTGTTGCTTTCCATTACA